CAGTTTGTAGTGCACATACATTTGCAAAACAAGGGGAATAAAGGAATATTCCTGAAGTTTTGTTTTATGATTCATCTCATGGTTACTGTGAAACTGCATGAATGCATCAATAATGCAGGACATGTTATCTCAGCTGGCAGAGCTTGGATTCATTGGATGAGTTTCCCAAATTACGTAAATATTGCAGAATCTACAGCTTTCATGCTGAATAAACTACATTATGAACATTGTCTTAAATAGAAAACTATCTTTAGATGGATTTTTTTTTTTACTCCCAAAGCATTTTATTAAAATACATTTGATTTTTCTGATTGAAATAGAAAAAAATCCACCCTGGGCTCCATTGTTTGAAAGTCAAGGCTTACCTGTGACACAACCCACACCTCTTCCGCCTTAACTTTTTCATTGTCTTTTTTGAAGGGAGGATTTGAATGTGGCTTATCTCTATGTATTAAATGTTTTATTTAGATTTATTTCTTTCGGTGTCTACTAAATGCAGGAAGCGCTGAGTGTACCCATCAGACAATAGCATGGAAGATGATTCGCCCTCAAGAGAGTATTTGGTGAGACACACAAAATATTTCCCTCTTTCCTGGGACGCTCAACAAATCTAAAACAAGTTTCCAAAACTAAATTAGTTTTGTCCCTTTTAGATATAGAGATAGCCTTCATACAGGTAGTTCTCAAGTTACAATACTTCACTTAGGGACCATTTCCAAGTTACAACAGCACTGAAAAAAGTGAACTATGACCGTTTCCCCACACTTACGGCCGTTGCGGCATCCCCCATGATCAAAATTCAGAAGCCTGGCAACTGATTCATACTTACGATGGTTGCAATGTGCGGTATGTGTGTGTGTGTGATGTGGTCACCTTTTGTGACCTTCTGACAAGCAAAGTCAATGCAGAAGCCAGATTCACTTAACAACCAGGTTGCTAACTGGACAGCTGCAGGGATTCACTGAACAACCATGGGGAGGAAGGTAACACGGGCCAAAATTCACTTAACAGCCTGTCTCACTTAGCAACAGAAGTTTTTTTTTTGGGGGGGGGGGGCGGCACAAGGGTGGATTACCTGCACCATCTTTCGTTCATTTGACTGTTCAAAGTTACGATACTGAAAAAAGGGACTTACGAACGTTTTTCACACTTTACGACCCCACGATCAAGGGATCAAAATTCGGACGCATAGCCCCTGGCATGTTATTATTTATGACGGCTGCATTATCCCAGAGTCATTTGATTCCACTTTTACAACTTCCTGACAAGCAAAATCAAGGGGCTGAACCAGGTTCGCTTAACAACTGTGCTCCTAACTTCGTAATTGCGACGATTCACTTTTAACGCCCGGGGCCAGGAAGGTTCGTAAAAACGGCGGCCAAATTCAACTGACTTGTTTTAGCGATGGAAATTTCACGCTCAGTTGTCGTCGGGAGTCGAGGACTGTCTGTAAACATGGAATTGTGGTTCCCCCTCCCCCCCAAAGAAGGAATTTCCTAGGTTTGAGGTACAGTGAGATCTGCCTAAAATTATAATGATGGAACTTTTTTTCTCCACGTAGCCAAATTTCAGTCCTGACTTCCCGGATGCTTCCACATTTGACCGAAGGAACACTGGGGGACATTTTCCAGGTTGACCCGAACCCCCAGAATGGGAGTCACCCCATTCTTTTCGTGGACTGTGCTGCGCCCCTCCTCCAACCAATTGGGGGTGATGGGGGTTCCCCTTACCTTTTGGGCAGGTGAGCAAAAGGATCTTTGGATTTGGGCTCGGCTGCCAAGGCCTGCTCACACTCGTCTAATTCCTCCTCTGGCTCTGGCTTCTTCTCTTCTTTCTTCTCCGCTTTCTTCTCCTCCTTTGGCGTTTTCTCCTTCTTGGAGGATTCCTTCTTGGGTTGGTTCTCTGCAAACTTCCTGGCTGCAAAGCCACAAGGAGGAAAAAAAGAGAGAAATGAACAGGATTCAGGGTTTCTATGCCAAAGGGTCCATTTGTGGCACCTTAAAAGTGCTAAAGCAGCATTTTCCAACCTTGGTCCCTTTCAAGACAGGTGGACTAAAAATTCCCAAGATAAAATAACAGACCAACAAGAGTTGAAAGGTACTTGGAGGTCATCTAGTCCAACCCCCCAGCCAAGTAAGAGACCAGACACCATTTTTGACAGATGGCAATCCAGTCTCTTCTTGAAAGCCTCCAGGGATGAAGCTCCCACAACTTCTGAAAGCAACTTCTGTTCCCTTGGGTGGATTGTTCTCCCTGTCAGGAAATTCCTCCTTGCTTCCAGGTTTTAATCTCTCCTTGGTCAGTTTCCATCCATTCTTCCTTCTCTGGCCTTCAGAGGCTTTGGAGAATACCTTGACCCCCTTCCTCCTCTCTGTGGCAGCCCCTCAAATATTGGAAGATGCTCTCCTGTCTCCCCTGGTCCTTCTCTGCTCTAGACTAGCCAGGCCCAGTTCCTGCAACCGTTCATCGGATGTTTTAGCCTCCAGTCCCTTCATCATCCTGGTTGCTCTTCTCTACATTTTTTCTAGAGTCTCCACCTCTTTTTTATAGTGTGGTGACCAATGGATGAAAACCAATCAAGGAGAGAAGCAACCTCTGACAGAATAATCAGTCAGGAGAACAGCTTCCCTCCAGAAGTTGTGAATGCTCCATAACTTCCGAAATTCCCTGACAGTGAGAACAATCAACCCATGGGACAGAAGTTGCCTTTGGAAGTTGTGGGAGCTTCATCCCTGGAGGCTTTCAAGAAGAGCCTGGACAGGCATCTGTCA